TAAAAAAATAAAAAATAAAAACTATTGCGACGAAACGTCCTTTTTGGACGGTTTTCTGTTGGGCGGCCTGCGCTCACGCTCACTCGAGCCCGTGTTCACGTCGCCCACCATGTTGCACGTCCAGTGGTACTTTTGATGCCCGCTCTGCCGCGAAGACGGTGAAGACGCCGGTCCGCTCGGCAGCGTTCGCGACGTGGTTGGTTGCCGGGTGGGCGCGCGGGTGCTGTCTGTGCAACTTCCCCTTAGGGGAGGGCCACCAAGTCGGCCCAGACCAACCCGATCCCCAGGGATTGCCGAATCGGACGAGGACGACGACAGCGGGCTCGGACGGTGTCCTTGGCGCGCGCGGGACGGTTGCGCTCGCGCCAGCCGCGTCACCGGCGTGCTCGGGCTCGGGGAGCTCGAGCTGGACGAGGAGCGGCTGGGCCGAGGGCCAGGCGCACTACAGGTCATAGGGGGGAGTTAGGGAGATAGGTCTCACTCCCTGCACCTTTTGGGAACGGTGGGGACGGGAGCTCACCGCGCTCTCTGTGGCCGACGCCGCGTGAGCGCTCCGGCAGTGGAGCAGTGGACGGGGCAGTGCGCGGTGGGTTTCTCTGAGTTTCGGTCGGTCAAGCAAAAATATTAGAAACCTCGTCAGAATCATAAGCCAAACATTAAGACCGTAGGAGCGTAGGAAATTTTCAAGTGAAAAAGTAGCATTGAAGTTGATTTAGTCGTTGCCATGTTACCTTTCACATCGGAAACTGATGACTTCCCCTCGCGTCTCCTCGCGCGAGGAGGGGTGGCCGACGCGGACTTGGCGGCTCTGCGGGGCAGCCACTCCTGGGGGACGCGGCCGCCGAAGCATCCGCAGCACGGACAGCGCACCAGGTGGCCGTCGCCATTGGCCCCGACGGCGCCTTCAGTACTGCTGCTGCTGCTGCTACTACTACTGCTACTACTGTGGCTGCTGCTGACGCCAGATCGAAAGCCTGCTCGCAGCTCGCCCGGCTCGACCCCGGAGTCCTCTGGCGGCGTCCCCTGTGGGCCCTCTGCCTTCTTCTGCTCCTTGGCGACGTCTTCCGCCTGTCGGACGCGAACTGTGGGCTAGTAGTGCCCTGCCCTGCACGCGCACTACCGTGCGCTGCGCACCCAGCACCGCCTCCTCACCCCCTGCCGGAGCCGCAGCCGACCGTAGCGCACGGACAGGTCCAGCTCCAGCTCGGCGGTGTCCGGCCCCCGCTGCACCAGCGTGCCTCGGCCCCTGATCCGCCCCGTCACCCTCCCCTCCATCCCCAGCAGGCCTGCTGCGCACATTGAGAGAGAGGACCGTGCGCCACCCACGCCCGGCCACGACGCCGCACTGGTAGGGCGGCCGCATTGTTGTGCAGGGCGGTGGCACGGCAGGCCGAGAAGGACGAGGCGGCGGGGCGGGCCCTCCGCTCCGCCACCGCGGGGACCACGCTGATCTGCTGTAAGAGCACGATGGTGGTACTCGACCTGTTCCTCCGCCTGGCGTCAGCTGCAGGTGCTGCACCTCGCTGACCTCTGACCTGCTGGCGGAGCACGATGATGGTCCTCGACCTGCTCCGCCGCTGGCGGCAGCAGTGGGGCGCTGACGCAGGTGCCGCCCCACTCGAGGCGGAGGGCCCGGCGCGCGACGCGTCCCCCCGGCGGCGCCCCGTGCACCCTCAAGGTAGGCAGACCCGCAGCGCGCGCACGCCCGGCGGGCTGGCCTACCTCAGCCCACATCCATCAATCCCTCTATCCCCCCCCCCCCTCTCTCTCTCACATTGTCTTCGCGTAGACACTCCGAGAACTGCGTCGTCGTGCACTTGTCGCCGCCGAACGCGCAGGCCACCCGGCGAAGAGCGACGCAGGAGTCAAGCACACGGAGTGATAGCAGATCGTCGGTGGCCGGGGGACGCTGTGGACGGTGCTCCTGCCCCCCGGCGTCCGTCACGACCGGCTGCGGCGGCGGGGTCAGGCGCGCGCCTGATGGTAGCCGGACGGCCGGAGGGTGCTGCCGCGCGGGTGTGCAGGTGCCCGCCCCTGTGCACGTGCGCCTTGCCCCGCTGCGCCTGCGCCCGCCCGCCCCTAAACCCCCTGCTGGCGCCACTCCGGCGGGCAGCACTCGTCGACAAGAGGGAGCTGTTTTACAACCCGTACGCGCCGAGGGATGGTACCTCGCGGATCAGGCCGGCGCGCATGCGCATGTACTAGCAGGAAGACATGGGAGTCAAACCGAGTGATACATGGCACGCGAGTACGAGTGGCAGATTTCTCCCCTCTTGAATCAGCGCCCAAGAGTTTTGCAAAAAAAACAACAAAAAAACAACAACAAAAAAACAACAGTTTGCCCATCGGCAAATAAAGGATTCCCTGGATACGCGTCTTCGTCTACAATGTAATTGGTAATTTCTAGGACATAATAGCTGGACACCCAACTTTTACATAGATAGAAGGAGCTGATATTTCAAAATTAATCATTAACAAATTTGAATGAAAAATATTTTAATTATTCTACAATAATATTAAATCCGAGGAATGGTGACATAGTCGACACGTTCTGGGTCCGAGTCATCCCGCATCTCCTGGTGGCAGCCCAGCAAACACCACGCGCAACGATCATCTCTGTAGCAATAGATTGGCGCATAGGTGATCAACTTCAGCTCCGGGTTCAAGGAGAGGCATTTCTGCACCGCGTCTCGGTGCAGTGCGTCGTGCGAACACTCGAGGTCCATTCTGAACACCTGGAGGGTGCGCAGGGACGGTGCGTTGGCGGGCGTGATGCCGAGCAGGATATCGTCTTCGGTCCTGGCTTCCACATTCAGGAGCTTGAGCGCCGGCAGGCGGGGCAGCGCCTTGAGCAGAGCCTGCTGCTGAGGGAAGTAGTGGTGCTCCCAAATATCCACGTAGATTTCCAGTTCCTCCAGGTGGGAGCGCCCGGTCGCGGCCAGGGCCAGCAAAAAATCCATGTCAGGGGAAGGGGCCGGGACCATGGTGGCCTTTGATTCATCATACCGGAGCGTCAGCTTGACCAATTGGGTGGCTCGGCGAAGAAACTCGGCAGCGGCTCGGGCCTCGCCGTCGTAAGCCACGCAGAGGTCCAGGTCCCGCAGCAGCTCGCACCCGGCCACGGCCTCCAGCCCGGGCATCATGCCACACCGCAGACTACGAAGGTTCGGCATTCCCGCCAGGAGAGTTGCAGTCGACGTCGAGGTCTGGGCGTGTTCATCGAGATCAATAGACTCTAAGGTGGAGGCGTGCGTGGACAGAATAAACTGGCAAAAAGGCTCCGCATCCGGCCTTCTCGGATCGTGCTCAAAGCTCTTCAGGGACGCACCGAGAAAGGACCTGTCAAGACCGGCCAGTGTGGATTGTGGGTAGCGCTGGAATCCTGTAATACTAAGCTCTTCTAGGCGGGACGTAGACGCCACCGTCCCGAGCAGCTCGTAGGCGTCCGCGGTATCCTTAACACAGTAGTACACCACAGCGTTACCCAGACCCAAACTAAGCCTCCTTAGCCGTCCAAGCGCCTCCTGGTTGCGGATGAGGAGGCTTGCTTGCAGTGCTCCTTTTCCATCCACCTGACGCATCCACAATGTTAGCTTGTTCACGGCACACCTGGTCGTGGCGAACATCGTGTGATACTTCTCCGGGAGACAGACGTGCCACGAGCGCAGGCACGGCGCCAACCGCAGCACGGCACAGATGCTGTAACGGGGGATTTCGCCGTCGTCAGGGTAGACGTCGTCGATATCGATGCTGTGATGCCGCCAGAGCTCCGGGAGCAGCGCCAGGGACCCGAGGCGGCGGCACACGAGGCGGCAGGCGAGTAGGTCCGCTATGTCCAGGTACTGCATCACCTCGAGCAGCGCGTCGTCCGGAAGCGCCTCCATGCCCTGGGGGACAGAGGAGGAGGCACACACAAGTTGAAGGTGGCCCTCCAATGAAACCTGGAACCCATCACCCATCATATCAGATTTTGCTGTTATTGATGCAGCCCAAGTTTGCTAACTGTAAGTTGGAAGTTAAGTAATGCAATAAACACAGTTTCACAAATTTTGCGGGAATCAGGGTGCTTCTATTAGGAACCCGTCAGTACCTATCATTTATGAGAAGGCCCGTACTCAAACATGTTCATAATTTGTGAAAATGTATTTATTGCATTACTAAACTTCCAAATTACATATAGGAAAACTCGGGCAGCATCAAAAACAGCAAAATCTGAACTGATGGGTGATGGGTTCCAAGTTTCATTGGAGGGCCACCTTAACCTAAAATGGTTCGTTATGCGCGGTGGTTCGAGCAGACGGCTGTTAACTACCGTCGCGCCTACCTCGTTCAGTTGGGCAATTCTTTGGCGTTGAATCGATGGCACTCGGTCGGACGGAGCTAGACAGCGTGTGGGCTGCGACAGTGTGGTCTGGGGTCGGTGAAGTAAACAGTTCCGAACACCGAACACCTCAGCAGCTGACAACAAGAGACTGGAGATTTCGACCAATCACAGCCATCATGGCGCCTCCGGTGTCTGCGTCCGCTAGTACTAGTATGAGAAAATAGTGCGCCCTGATCCAAATCTCGATCTGTATCATGTAACTTACAAACAGACCAAGGCACGCCCGATACTTGGACGAAATAGCCTACCCTATTTCGTCAAAGCAACAAGACACCCACCCACAGTGGGGGGGTGGGGGTGGGGGGGGATCGCGCCCTGTGGCCTCTAGTGAGCCACCTGAAAGATAGGCAATTTGTGCTACACCATCCCTGTACGTAGGCAACCAACACTGCATCGCCCCTCGGGCGAACACCATACTTTACTTAGCCTTAGACCAAATTCACCAGCGCAGACTGCTGGGATAAGCTGGGAGCAGCAGGAGCAGCCAGCAGGTTGACATATCCGGTAGGTGGCGTTAGGTATAGTAGGTTCATAGGTGTGTAGCATGAGATGTGGTGTACCAGAGGCTGACTCAGCGTCGCGCACTTTCGTAGTCGTACTGTACCGCATATGCACGTTTGCAAGTGGATTGCCTATGACAAAGAGCAGGGCCCTCCTTTGCAAACTGAAAATGATGTAATCTGATCTGGTGCGCCACCGGGTTGTCTCTGTCCCCCTTTTATCTGACTGGGAAGTAAAGGCTGGCGTTCACTCGCTTAGGTGCGCGGTCAAACACGACGATAACAGCACACACACACACGCACACACACACACGCACGCGCGCGCCTCACACTGTCGTCGATTTTAACACAGCGAGATGCCCGTGTATGTGTGTGATTCCGAGATACGCACCCCCTATACGTCACAAATGGCCGCTGCCGGGGCAAAGCTCGCGCGGACCGGACCAGAGGGACGGCCGTGATGGCATCGAGTTGAGATACTGCCGCGATAACTGTTGTTTTTCAGCCGTATTGCGGCCAGGGTGAATCACTGAATCGTGGGCCAAGATGTCAGGCCTGACGTGCGGGTTCGAACCCAGGCGATATCCATTCGAAGATGATGGAAATATTTTTTCTAGCTCGGGTGCTGGTGCTGCACCACCAAAACGCCGATGCGCAGCAAAAGAATGATAGCGCTATCAACGATGCGAGTTTTCTTTTGTTCTTAATGTCATATTCGGACTTGTTCCCCCCCCCCTTTCCTGATACCAACGGTCCGCGGCCTGGGGCATGGAGTCGGGTCACGGCACGGCATGTTTGGGGGGCAGGAGGACCCACCCCTAGGCAGGCCCCGTCCAACGGTGCCCCCCTCTTTGTCGCCTTCGCCATCCGGGGAATTCCCTTTGCAGGATCTGTGACGACGCCCAATTCAACGTGCGGAGCAGATCATTTGACCAGGCAATTCTGTCAGCGCTCAGTCCATCCTGGAGCCCCCCCCCCCTCTCTCTCTCTATCAGCGGTTCACAGAGAATGCTCCTTATAGGGGCAGTGGCTGAGCCTATGGCGGCGGGGTGAGGTGGTGGTGGGACACTGCAGGGGGGCTTCTGCCGCTGTGGCGGGACAAGGTGGAGCGGGAGCGGGGCGCGGAGAGCGGCGGGCGGAAGTGGGAGATTACAGTTTGTAGCTACCAGGCAGGCCGCGCCAGTGCATGTGGTCCCGGCCGGTCCCGGTGCCCAAAGCCTCCCGCCGCCCGCTGCCGCCCGCGCGGCCGGGCCGTCCGTCAGAGCGGGGAGGAGAGAGAAAGAGAGAGGGAGAGAGGGGAGGCGACAGCTCCGCACACACATCGCGCCCGCGGCGCCTCAAGAGAAGAGAGTGGCGTCGTGCCGACCACAGCTACCGCAGCGCAGCACCCGCACCCGCCCCGTACACAGAGAGGATTATGTCAGCCTCCGTGACGAGCTCCAGGACGCCGCGCCGGCACAGCCCGCACTGGAGGGTGGGGGGCGACCACCACCTGCAGCCGCCGCCGCGACCCACCCTCGCCTGCGCCGCGCTGTTGCTTCTCTCGGTGGTCCTCGGTAAGTTTTCTTACAAACGCGAGCAACGTGAGCGACTCGTCCGTGGGACACGAGCCTGACAAGTCGGAATAGTTTGTGGGCAGGAATATCACGTCACATTGTCGTTACCAAAGTCCATTCATCGCATTTGAATTCTCCGCGTATCCGGATACTCGGATGCCGTGTAGGCCTCTGCCGGAGCATGTGGGCGGCTGGCTCCCCGTCGGCTGCTGCCCGGCCTAGGAGCGACGGGGTGGCTCGTCTTTTCTCTTTATCATCTCGTGTTTCGACAGTCCGTCCCGCTCCATCCCATTCCATCGGGCCTGGGGTCGGGTCGAGGTTGCCAAATCTCGTTGGGTCGGTACGGATATTCAAACTCGGGCATCACTGTAACCGGGAGGGTGCGCCGGGGTGTTTCGCTGCAAGCGCCGGCGATGCCGGGTTTGCCTACTCTCGGGGGTCGAGACGCTCCCTAAACGGGCTCCGGCGCCGGCGCGTCCACCGAAACACCCGGGTACGGCTCATGTCGCACGAAACAAATAGGATCCGTATGACATGGATGGATGTACATCGGCTTCATTCCGCGCGAACTCATGCGCTGACCAGGAAGGGGAGAGCGCAGGGGGGGGGGG